CCCGAAAATTAAAGATTGACCTGATTTTTGACCCGAAAACTAGCAATTTTAGGTCAATTTCAGGTCATTCATGTCGGGTCGGGTTGACCCGGATCCGAATTGGGTTGGATTCGGGTCCGAAAACCTGACCCATTTTTAAAACGGGTCAGGTTCGGGTTGACCCGAACAGTGCCTGGCCAGTTCCGGGTTCGACCCGAACCCGACCCGTTGACCCAAATTAACACCCCTATAGTAAATCATGACAAGCATAATATTTTTTTTAGTGAGATATTTGCCCTCATTAAAGATGAGAAAACATTCTTAGAATATCCATGAGATGGGTTATCATCATAGATGACTCTAACATGATTAAATAAGGATATGATGTAATATAAATATTAATGTTCTAAAGAAGAATGCCACAACACATTACACATTCACTACATATGATATAGTGTTGCAATACTAGGTTTATGAAGCCATCCCAAGACTAGGCAAGGATGATAAGGCCGTAGAAGAGCGATAAAGGGCTTATGTGTACATACTATTTTTATAGTATTAGTTTACATTGATTATTGTTATATATTAACTCTAAAGTTAGTTTTGAATTATTTTTTATAGGTGATTGTTAACCCTGCATTGATGCACAAAGCTGGTGAAGAGGACTTCTATAAGTTTATTATACGTACACTTTCTCAGACTCTCACATTAGAGTTATAAAGAAAATGTGATCACCAAATGTTTTGTTGACGAGTATGGTCATCAAATGGGGAAAAAGTATCAAAAGGATATGAGTAACAGGTAGTTACTAGTTAGTCTATGCCCTCATCTAGACAGTTGGAGCAACTTTCTATACTTGTTATAGAGCTAAGGAATAACCAAATCACATTATAGAATAGCCAGTTCAAATTAGACATAAAGTACATGCCCTAAGCATTTGTGCTCTATGGTTTTGTAATGAGAGATGTGGAGGGGAGTAAAAGGATTAATAATGTCATATAAATGAGTGAGGATAAAACAAATAATGAATAGGTCATTAATGTTGTAATATCTTATATTTTGATCAAGTTAAATATTTTTTTGAGTAATTATAAGTTAAATTTATAAACAATCTTAACTATATTATAAATACTATTTTGTTTTAATTATAATAATTTTATCCTAATTTTAAGGGCAATGTAGATAATTGATATGTGATTGTAGATGTGGGATTTTTTGGACTTTTAGATATTTGTTTTATAAATTGATTTCACTATATCTTTTTAGACATGCTAAGATAATTTATGAATATTTTTTTTATTATGAATTTTAGATATATGAATTTGAAGATATAAAAGTATTTATAACAATTTTATGAAAAAAAATTAAACAATTTATGATATACCCTTAGATTATTTTATTATAAAATATTTATCCGCTTACAAATTTCCTCAAATGGCCATTTTATTCATTTTTCCCCCAAACCAGAGAAGAGAAAAATGAAATTGGAGAAATAAGAGATATGTTAGGGGTTGGAGGTCATAGAACGTTTTTTACTGGGTGGTCATGCTGGGAAAGTTGTTCGTCTCAATATAAGCTATATTTACTCAACCTCTGATTTCAATAATTTTATATATTTGTATTTTATGAATTTTAATTTGATTTGAACGTACAAAGTTGTGATTTCTTGTTTTTTAACATACTCTCAATGCATAGCTTTTTTGTATGTGATGGATTTTTTCAATATGAGCATTTCGACCGGAACATATTAAATTTTTACTTAGTATTTTAAATTTTTGGGGGAAATATCGTAAGTTGAGAAATTTGAATAAAATTAAAAATTTGATAAATAATTGTTAAAATCTATTTATATGCATATATAATATGCATACTTATTATAATGCAGTTATTATGGATATGCACGTGAAAATAATTATGTTATATTTTATTATAAATTTCACTAATGTTATTTCACTTGAAAAATTTACATGTATTAAGATGCTATACATTGAATTGAAAATTGAGTGTGGTATCATGTGTTTGTTATGTTATATATGTTATGAAATGTATGCATGTAAGAAAGACTAACTATGAATGATTGACTAATTCAGGTCAGATGGAGACATATTACTTTTGTACAGAAAGGTGGGCCAACATGCTTTATTTTAAAATAAAATTTATGTTATAATCCTAAAAGATATGAAAATTGCGACATAGGGAGATAAATTTATATGATATGATACGTCGATGGGCAAGAAGTGATAACTTTTAATATGAGAATCACATGACTTAAATTACTTGTGATATGATTGATTCCTATAGGGCTGACTTACAAGACCGGATACATAAAAAATACCACAAATAGTTAGATATATTTTTCTTTTTAATAGTGCTTGTATATACATATGCAAAAATATATATGCGATAAATTTTATAATTAACATGATATGATTTATATAAGATATATGTTATGACTTATACAAGCATTTGATAAAATTGATAAAATTGATACAAAAGGTTTTTGATATATCTGAATCACATGATTTATATGATATATATGCATATCATATACATTATATGATAACTATATAATAACGATATATGTGCTGATGTAATAAGATGCTATATAAATTATTCTTTAATTATTGAGTAAATGATTGACAAAACTTATTGATCATTATTCACTTGGTTACTGATCACTACTCTTAAGATATTCAGTTGTACTAATATTTATTGATCATATGATGTGTTACTGATTTATTGATTATTACATACTTTTATAGTTATGTGTTTATATTGATATTGATTGAATGATTACATATATATTGTTTATATTGCATTGCATTGTTTTCAATTGTATGTTTTGGTAACCTTCTGAGTTGTTAATTCACTATATGATTTTACATATTTTTAAGAAGGAATCAGAATCCAATGAAGCGAGGACAGATAAAAAATTCAAGCTTTATTTAATTCTTTATAATTTCTCAGTTTTTGTAGAAAAGTACTTAGAAAGTTAAAATGAATGTAATGATTGGTCTCTTAGCTTATTTACATGAATTCAGAGAGATAAATATTGTTGCGTCCAGGAGTATTCGCGGCAGTAGAGAAATATATGATTTAACGTCTTAGCGTTGTACGAAAATCCGGCACGCAATCAAATAAGGAGAGAGGGTCTAGCATTTATGAGACATCAAGATTTTTACGTGGAAACCCCCTGAAAAAGGGGGAAAAACCACGGGGCCTAGCCCAGTTTGAACGAATCCACTAGTATTTGCAGTCGATTACGAATGAGGCCCTTCCTTGGGAGAAGGCCTTAGCTTGATGTACATCTTATAGAGTACATTACATGATGTAAATACAAAGAGTTACTATTGACGTATTCGTTTTGTTGGAATGACTGTAGTCGGCGGGCGACGGATGTCGGAAAGATCATAGTCAGCTGACGACGGAGGTCGGAAGGAATGTAGTCGGCGGGCGACGTAAGTCAGGAGGACCGTAGTCGGCGGGCGACGGAGGTCGGAAAGACTGTAGTCTGACGACGAATATCAAAAGGACAGCGTTAGGTAGAAGTCCAACAATGGAAAGAAATCCATCTTCGCGTAGACGTCCAGCGAAGTCCGATAATTGGTAGAAGTCCGGCGTCGGGTAGAAAACTTGGCGAAGAGTGAAGGTTCGACGTCGGGTAGAAGTCCGACGTCTATTGGTGGCAAAGGAGAACTCCGGCTTCACTTGGGCGGAGTTTCAGCGTTAGAAGGGAACTCTGTTGCAAATTGGGAAGAATTTCAGTATCACGTGGAAGTTGGGAAGAATTCCTGCGTTCTCCCAAATATCACGCATAATCCCGGCGTGTTCGGGCGACAGGAAGAGCTCCGGCGGTGGTCGAGGAGGAGCATCTTCCTTCTCCTCCTTCTTCTCTTCTTATTCTTCTCTCTCTTCACTTGAGTCCCCTTGGTGTAGAATGAGGGCTCTATTTATAGTTTTTCTGGAGTAGCATAGCCCGTAAATAGGCTTGAGGTCAGGAGCGAATTGGGAGTGTTTTGAATGGACGGTCGATATTGAATCCTTTGATCATGCACCGTTTGTTGGGCATTTGAAGGCCTTGATGATGTCGGAATTCGGCGATCTTGGGCTCATTGGATTCGTCTCGTTGATCCGTTCGATTCGAGTATAAGCTCGTCAAAATCGAAGACCGTTTGGTAACTCAAATTGCGGTTTGAACCTTTCAACAGTGCTTTGAGTCCTTGATTCAGACTCATTTGGGCTCGGATTGGGTCAAATTTGGTGTTGTTGGATTCGTATTTCCGAGACGCTCAGTTTGACTGTAAGCTCGCTGAAATCAGAGTTCATAGGCTCTCGAATTTAATTTTTGAAAATTCCGAACTGATTTTGCCTCAAGATTCGTGCCCAATCAAGATAATTTCATGATGACGTATAAAATATAATTTTATATTTTGATGTATATAATTTTTAGTTACTTCAATTGAATTAATTTATATTGATGAATTCATATAAGCTTTGTTTTGTTAATTAATAGATAAATAGATAAATAAATTATTATTTTAAAATTAGATAATGTGGTGTTACATCTACTATCTCAACCATGAGACTCCATTCCTCCTGGAAAACTTTTATTTATGTTTCAAGTGCTTTCTTTGAGCTCATTTTGAGTTGAATTGAGTCTAGAATTTAATTTAAATATTTCCTTTAGAATCATGATGATCAAGTAAATTTCTTAGAGACATTAATTTTTAATAGATTTTATTTCCTTTGTGATGAACATTTTGTTATATATATACACATATATCCATTTTTGCCCATTTTGAATCATCATCTAACCAGTTACAAAAATATGATTATATTATTTTAATTCAGGAAGAATTACTGGTTTTTTTCCTTAAAAAATAAAAAAATTGTATATCTCACAAAATGCTAAAATAATGAAACATAAAAAAAAAAAAAAATGAAACATATAAAATCAAAATTCCAAAACAACAAACAATAAGTTAACTTCGCCGCTCTGCATAATAAAAGTTTGTTATATTTGCTCTCAATTTTGCAGCCAGCCAAAATAAACCGATCATTTAAAGCGTCTCCTGGCTCTCCACCGAATTGGCGTTTTCCTCCTCTGGGTTCCCTCCTTCCTTCTTCCTACTAGTTTCGTTATCTTGTTCCTTCCGTCTGCTTCTCCTTCTCCTTTACCTCGGAGAAGGAGATGCGGGAGGAATAATACATTATTTGCATTCGAATAATCTGTCCTACACAACGTCTCACATAATTTGTTTCCCGCATTAATCGATGGATCGCCGGTGGCCTCCTCGCTGGCCCCCGCATATCCTTATTCTCCTTCTTAGTTTCATTTCTTTCTTCGATTTGGGAAGCGGCACGGGTGTGTTTAGGGTTCAGCGAAAGTACACCGACCGCACTCATATCGCCGACCTCCGCGCCCATGATGTTCGCCGCCATGGCAGGTTCCTTTCAAGCGGCGCAGCTGGCGCCATCGATATTCCACTTGGCGGCATTGGTGTTCCCACCGAGACCGGGTGAGCTTACCAGTTTCGTAATTGTAAGGCACTTGAGATTCGTGGGGTTCGTCTCGGTCAAAAATATTTTAGACATCATGGTTTAAGGTTTTTTTTTTGGGTTTACAGTGGATTTGCATTTTGATCTATTAGGCGTAATTTACATGTTATTTAATTCGTTGATACATAGTACCGGTGTAAACCCATATTCAATTGGTATTGAATGATTAATGTGATTTGTTCCTGTCATATCGCGGCTTCAAATGTGTTGTTCTAGCTTATTACTTTGGTCCTTCAAAATCTATTTTTAATTTATGCTAATCCTGATTTACGACGGGATTTAACATAAAAGCTCATTCTTAGAAATGCAAAGTTGTTGATGCTCACTTATAGGCTTAAGCGTTTAATTGAAAATGAAAATTTCCACTATAGATTAGGTCAATTTATACAAAAATTATTAGTTAAACTAAGCTAACATAGAGGAAGGTTTGTAATGCTGTGCATGACTAAGTATTTTGTTATGAATTACAATCTGTTATAAATATTTTGTACACAAAAGTGCATAGTAGCTATGTATGAGCTTATTTTCTTATTATATACTCATATATACAGAATATTTATAGATGTTTTTTGCATAGTAATTTATAATAAAATACACACTAATACATGTAATTGTCAACCCAACTTTAATAGCTTTGGTTCAAAGTCGCTAACATTTTTCTTTTTAAAATGTGTTATATTGGTTCGAGTTTTACAAGAATTTGAATGTTTTATAGGCTGTACTATGCTGAAATTGAGATTGGGACGCCTTCAAAGTCCTACTACGTGCAGGTGGACACTGGGAGCGACATCCTTTGGCTGAATTGTATCACCTGTAAGCATTGCCCAAAGAAAAGTGATCTTGGGGTAAAGTTTTTTTTTGGAATTTTATGTGTCTTTTTATGATATAATTTTTCTTTTATATGGAGGCAAGTCAGCTGGCTTCTCTCTCGTGACCTTCTAGTTTATATGGAAAGATTGAGTTTCAAAATTTTTTTTTTTTTGCAGATAAAGCTTACGCTCTATGATCTCAACAGTTCTTCGAGTGGAAACATAGTGTCTTGTGATGAAAGCTTTTGTTCATCCACATATGGTGCTGATATCCCTGGTTGTATTCATGATGCACCATGCCAATATACTGTGTTGTATGGTGATGGAAGCTCAACTACTGGGTATTTTGTGACAGATAATGTGCAATATAATCATGTTTCCGGTAATCATCAAACAAAAATAGCAACTGCAAGTGTTACCTTTGGGTGAGTTATGATGGTATGAGCTATGAGTTTTTCTTTGGGAATGATATTGAAAATTTATTTATAACATAAAACTTGCTGACTTGCAAACATGTTTTCTAGATTGCTTGTTTCGTTTGCCTTATGATTAATATAGTGAAAAAAAATGCATTAGATGAATTATATATTTTATATTTAGTCATAATGATGTTTTGTGTTTTACATTATAGTTCTATATTCTTTAAATTATTTATTGTTCAACCACCTATGTTAAAAATGGCTTGATTACAAAACTTCATTTAGGCCTATAACCATACTAGTGCACTTGATGAATAGTTTGATACTTGTTCATATAAGACTCATTTATATTTATTTATTAAGATGAGCAAGTTTGAATATAAATTTTTAAGCTCGACATATAAATGAATGAGCTTGAACATTAATTTGGTTGTTCATTTACATTCATGAGCATGTTCGTCTGTTATTCAACAAGTAATTTTCCAAAAGCTTGATATCATGCTCATTTGATGATGATTTAATTATTTATTTGATAGCTTAATGTATGTTATTCTATCAATGTTCTAATATTATATGGACGTCAATAGTGATTTATATTACGAGAAGTACAAATGTGTTAAAAATATTGAGCAAATAGGTAGACGAATAAATTAAAAATTTCATATATTTGTTTAAATCAATAACATCATACATGTTGCTAGTTTAACTTGATTAAAGCTTGAACTCAATAACAAATTATAAACAAGCTTTAACAAGATTTTGAAATTTGAAATATGTTTAGGCTTGACTTGAGTTTGATTAGAAATTAAATTAAACAAATTTGATTAAATAGTGCTCCCCTGCTCGGCTCAACCAATTTATAACCCTATTTTAAATAAAATGAGAGGAAAAAATACTTCCTTTCTACCCGATCTGTCCTTGAGATACAAAGTGAGTACACAAAAAAGATCACTTTTGACTATTTTGACGCAGCTGTATGCCCATAAGATCTTTGACAAGAGTTCCTCACGCAAATTGCTGGATCCTTGGACTTGTTTGTAGTGCTTAACTTGATATCTTGCAAACACATGTTCCAGATTTTTGACCTCCTTAGCACTAACGGTTTAACTTGTAATAATAAGAAAAAAATATAAATATATGAGGAAATTATATAGGCAACTTCTAGTTGCGGTTTTCAATATATATATATTTTTCTATTTTATATGGATTATTCTTTATTGTTCAATCCACTTTATCAAATATGAGTATAAATGCAAGTTGTTAGCAGAATGAAATGTAGGGATGTTTCCTTTCCATCATATTTGTATACCCTAAATCATTGCTCCTTTAAGACTTAATGGGATATTTACGCTTGTCCCATGTTATGACAACATAAAAACATTTCATACTAATTTACCCTATCTAATATAAACCATATACGGTTAAGCTATTGACTTGGGACACTACAGGAAAATTGCGCGTTATCGGCGGCCCAAATCGCCTGGAAATGGCAAAATTCCGCCGGAAAATATGCTTTTATGGCGGAACTTCACTCGACAGTGAAATGCGTGTTAGAAACCTTTTTGCGGTGGAGCAGTTTGATGAAAATATTTTTGGTGGGCTTACCGGCAGAATTTCGGCTGAATATAACGGTATGATTTGTCATATTTTAGTCAATAGTACTGGCGGTTTATCTGCAGAAATTTCCGACAGAAACTTACCGCTAGAAATTCTGGCGGATAATCAGTCGGACACAGATCAACAGTCTGGTGGATAATCCACCGGAAACCTGTAGCAAAAAAAGCACCATCTCTTTTGTCTATGTTTTGTACAACACAACAAATTTGCATAAAAATATACAATTTTCATTCAAACATTGAACACAAACAAACAATTTAACATTCAACAAATAGTTTAATAGCATATTTGATCATTCCAAGTTCATTAAACATTCACCAAACAATTTAAAATAAATATAAAGTTCGGTAGTTGCACACTAAAAAACGATAAATAAAATAAACAATTATACAGATGAAATATCCAACATATAAAATAGATGTCCAAAAATAAGGAAAAAATCTAATTAGAATCAGTCTCCTCATCTGCTGTCACCACAGCCGTAGTCTTCAATCCTACCATGCCAAGAAAGGCGTGTATAGGTATTCAGGGGGGTACCTATGTGAAAGCACACTTTGCTATTTAGATATTTTGGGTGATTTACTGACATAAGCCAAATCTAATACATCTACACATTTCTTAACATAAGCTAAATTTAATACATCTACTTTCCTAACTAGGTCATCGGGAGGTTGCCGTTTTATGTGATCAAACTATCTAAGGTGTCTCTTTCACTCATGAGCATTCTCATCTTTGCAAACACTTAACTTAAAGCCATGCTTCTCGTTTAATGATCAACATTTTACACCATAAAATATTGCAAATGTCTTCCGAGAGAATCAAGCGAATATTTTCGATTTTCCGTCGGATAGACCGTCGGAAACTTACACCATAAAGCATTTCACATCAACTCCCTCTCTAGTCTTATCAACAAGAAGAATATCATCAACAAAATGCATACACTATGGTACAATGACTTGCAAATGTCTACTGAGAACATTCATGACCAAACAAAAAACTAAATTGGCTACTTACGACGGATTTTCGGCAACTGAGCGGGGAACGTCGGTGAAAGAGCGGTCAACAAGAAGGCGGGCTGCGAACGTCGACAATGGAGAGGTGAACACGTCGAGGACGGAAGCGACTTACGAAGCGAGAGCGAGTAGGAGTGAAATGGAATGAAATGAGAAGAGCATGGCCGTAGAAAGGGAAATATGGCTTTTTCTGGTGATATTTTCGGCAACTTTTATGCCATAACTTTTTCTGGCGAAATTTCCACAGGCAATATTTCCTCGGTTTTAAGTCGGTGGAATTTGCTGAAAGTTCCGTTAGTCCTTTTCAGCGTATTTTTCGTCGGAAGTAACTGCATGGTTTACAAAAACAGACGGTTTTTCCAGCGGATAAAGTAACCGCCATGGTTTATCCGCCTAAAAATCCGGTGCTAAATTAGCGACATAATATTTGCCGGTCAAACCACCGCTTCTACTAGCTGATGAAATTCTGCCGGTAAACAAAGATTTTCCTGTAGTGGAAGTTCCAAAGCATTTGGTAATGTCTTTTTGGCCTGATCTCTGGTCGAGAACTCGTTAACCCCTCAGGTACTATGTTTATTAATGCTATATTGAAAACTAAATTTTCCCATAGTATTCAAGCATAATTAAGCATCATTAATGCAATATCTTTAATTACTGAAGAAAATTAATTACATAATAACTTAAATGGAAAAAAAATGGAGAGGTTCATTTCATTCCGGTCTCTAATGAGGCATCCAATAATTGTTTTCTTGCCAGTTCATTGATCAGGTTGACCTTTTAAGTGTTGTTTGCCCAGCTCGCGCAGCAAGCCCTATTGTTTATACCTTGTATTTCAACTAAGGAAGGGGTTGAGCTCTTGAATATTGGTCTTTCTCGGGCTTTGAAGAAAGATGCCAATTTTAAGGAGCAAGTTGGGTAAAGGAATTTACTTAATCATTTGGCTCATGACCTGAAGGCTGCAGCTGTAAATCCAGTTCCTGCATAAGCACACTAGAATCCATATCATTTTAAGAGCAATTATGTAGAAAATGTTTGAATTGTGGGAAGATAACGGGTTTGATAGAGTTAATCTAATCATCACTCCATCTGATCAGTTGAGTGCGGTGAAAAAATAGATAGCCTGTTAATGCACTAGATGCCATCTGTTCCTTCCTTTCAGTTTGTTTATTCCTATTAACCATTTTGGTGTAGCCTCTCAGCATTCTAGTTGGATTGTTAGCTTGAAGAGAAGTAAATGAAAGAAGACCATAGCTGGATGAGCTTGAAGAAAAAAAAAAAAAAAAAATCCAATGAAAGAAGACCATAGCATAATTTCTTTTGTTTGTCCTTGCCTTATGTTGTTTTTGATTGGACTTGTCAATCAACATTGCACATTTCATTACCAATATCATTGTTCTAGCTACAAACCAAAAAACATACTACTTTATAAGTTATTAGTTTTATAAAATGACACACGTTGCTAGAATTAAAATTTTAGTTAATAGGAGTTTGCACCAATGTACCATCTAGGTAATAGGGGTAAGCCTAGGTAGATTGGATAAGTTCAATTGCTTAGTCATGACATTTTTTATATGTTTTAAAATATTTGTTGAATCTTTTTTACATATTAGTAATAAAGGGCATCTAATACGTGAGGCTTCTACCAAAGCTGATTTTGACTTGGGTTGGCGTACCCCGTCTTACTCCTACTATGTTAAGAGATTTTTACTATGACTCAAATTTGTGATCCCTAGGTTATAATAAGGACACCTAACTACTGCTCTTGGGCTATCTTCTAATATTTTACCTATGCATAACCATAGAAAATAAATCTTGCAAAAGGTTGTAACCTGCATTATAGCCGTACTATTTTTCTTGCATATTTACATAATCTTGAATATATATATTTTTGGCGCGATATGCTGTGTACAAATGTTTTTCTTCTTTAATATGATGTTCTTTTCTAGCATTTTGAATTTATTTGTAAACGAGTTCACTTTTTTTTTTTCCAATATGTGAAGAAAGTAAAATGCACAAGTTCAAAGGTGAAATGAATTCTAAGCATCATAACTATTTGTAGGAAGATCATATCTGATGAGATTTATGAGTCTTGAACGTATGAATAAAGCTGCAATGCCCTTCCATGGTTTCCAGTCCGTGTTCATTTTGATAAAAAAACAAATAAGACAATTCTTTATGTGTATTTAGTTCTATTTCAACTATTTTAATATTTTTGACTTAAGATTAATAACTCTTGGTGATAAGAATTGATCGGTTTCATCTCCATAGTTTTTTCTTTCATTTCTTTATTACTGCTTCCTGTATTTCTATTTTTTGTTTCTCAAGCATGGTCTGCTCCATCTGTAGATGTGGTGACCAGCAGTCTGGCGATCTGGGATCATCAGCGGAAGCAGTTGATGGAATCCTGGGTTTTGGACAGTCAAACTCATCCATGCTATCACAACTTGCTTCTGCTGGAAAAGTAAGAAAGATGTTTTCCCATTGTTTAGACACTAAAAACGGAGGTGGTATATTTGCTATAGGACATGTGGTACAACCTAAAGTCAAGACAACACCATTGGTACCTGACATGTATGTTCTGCATATCTCTTACTCGAGGATTTTGAACTGACTTTTCACTGTAAAATACTGCTAGCGTTTCACAATGTTCTGCACATTGGTTACACCAATTAAATGAAAAAAAAAAGCAGTGAAAGGTTGACCTGTATCGAAGCATGATCAAAGCCAGTGGTATAACTTTGCTTGATTAGTGCAATAGCTGCTCATCTATACCTCATTATGCATCATGCAATTGCATACTAGGATTCAGGTGGGATCATTCTTGTGCTGAATTAATTCAGCATCCAATAAATATATATTAAGGATTGGTACTTGTTCACTATCAACCTGCTCAACGTGAAGTGTGTAATATATATATATATATATATATATATATATATATATATATATCCCAACCATTGGCTTGTTTTAAAACTATTAGCTTTATTTTAATATTTGCTTTTATTACTTTAATAAGATATTTCATGGCTGGCCTTAGGTGTTAACCCCAGATTGATTCAAGTTAAAAGATATCTGAAATGCATGAAGACATGACTTTAAAAACTGCAATTTCAAACTTGAGTTAAGCTTGGTGGATTTAGTTTCAGGTTTGCACCCGTGCTATGATTTCGATTGAGCATATGTTGGTTCAGACTGCTTGAGTGCAGTGTTTGTCCTTATTGTTCGATTTATTGATCAATTTATTCCATGATGGATGCTTGTGCGATACCGGAGTAACCGGACCACCATGAGATAGCTTAAATTATTAATTGACACTTTATCTGAACCTTTGGTTGAGAGAAGTATATGGTGATCAATCTTATTGGATGCTTGCCAGAGGACTCTATAGCGAGGAACCACTATGAAAGTTCATTTTTATGATCAAATTCATGGTTGGGGTCACCTTGATTGAACCCAAATCAGGCTCATCATTGCTGGTTATATCATCATCAAAAAAATTTCTACCTTCATTGTTTTGTTGAGCGCAAACTTAAGAACAAAATTTATTGCTCAAATTACTTGATTCTGGTCCAAATGTATGCCAAATCAGTAGCTATTGATTATAGATTCCATTAGGCAAGTTTAAAGTTATGCTTTAACATGTGGATTGAGTAATTTATATTGGGTCCAAGTGCATTATATTCCATATGTTATCAAATAACGAGTCTACCTTTGGTTAAACCAAACTCACTTTAAGTTCATAGTACCATTACTTAAAATAAGGGTTTGGCATTTGATCATGATACGCCTGGGGAATTAATATTCACTATGTAAGGAGGATAAATAATTAGGAAAGTTTATTTAGGGAAAGATGACTGATTTGAATTTAGATTGGGGAGGGAATTAGGAATGTTTATTTAAGGAAAGAGAGCTGATTTGAATTCAGATTTGGGAGTGTTTAGGAAAGTTTTCTAAAAATATTTATGCTATTTAGGAAGTGTTTAATTATTTAGGAAGATTTTCTAAATTATGTTTAATTGTTTAGGAAGATTTCCTAAATGATGTTTAATTAGGAATATTTCCTAAATGATGTTTAAATTATCTAGGAAGGTTTTACTTATGATTTTGTATTCTAGGGCTATTTAAGGGGGAATTGTCTAGGGTTTAGGTATGCTATTGCTAAGTTTTATGTTCTTAGTGCTTGTTGTGAGTTCCTAGCGGTGTCTAGGTCTTGTGTGAGAGACAATCTACCTCTCTAATAGTAGATCAACTGTATCTTACTTTCATATTGCCGAAATAATACAAAATCAGCTACTGTTTTGAGCATTCCTGCAGTTTTCTATTGATTGGTTTGTTGTTGTTACTTTGGAGACATCAGATCATTGATGCACCATGATGATGGTTCGGCCAACCAGGGCAATTCTGTTGATCCTAAATTATGCTGGAGCTGTGAATGTTTTCATTGACTCTGATTATGACTGGAGGAATTAATGAATAATGATACAGGACTGCTAGCTTGGAGCGAATATTTCTTTGGTCAGATCCAAATCAAGCAGTGTCACGTAGAGGCTAAGGCCCCTGGTAAATGTGAGCTTAGTAGTTTGGTTGGTGCATTCCAACTGCTTGTCGTACTTTGCTCAAGTCACTTAAAGTTTTCAGTGGAGAATTGGGGTAAGATGGGAAAGGCAGGGATGGAGAATTGGAGGATATGGTGTATGCTAATGTTAGAATCTTTTGTCCAATAATTCCAATATATTTGGCAATCCTTATTGCAAAAGCAACTAGATGAGCTATTGGAACATGGAAAATAGGTAATGCAACTACCTAATTCATGCTGCTGAAGTAAATAAAAGAGGCAATTCTCCCTTCCTAGTTCCTCCTTGGGAATAAATACTCTTGGTCACACTGTATGATTCTTCTCGCTTTTCTTATACAATCTAGTTCTTTCTTAATTTGAAGAATTCTCACACCGTCCTGGTTTCTTTCACAATGGGATTTGAGACTTATTCTTTCATTTGATTTTTAATTTTAGCTTGGAACTGTGGTCTTAGTAATTCAGGAAGAATCAGGTTAGATATAAAAAAAATTATTTGCCTAGAGGACAACTTTGCTTGAGATATCAGTCTAAGCCTGAAAAACCACAGTTTTTTACTTTTGGAGACATCAGATGACCGTAGGGCTGGAAAGCTGTGGGTCTCGTCACAGGTCTCAGAAGTTTTGTTTGTTATCTATTATGTTATCCTAAAGTTGATGCTTAATTGGGAAGTTATGGTTTGTTGAAGCATTGAAGGCATGCTTCTTAGCTATTTTAATAAAATTATTAGTCCATTTACTCTTTTTAAAAATAAAATACATCTATTTAACATGATATACATCTATCCGTATAATCTTAATACTTCGAGGGTTCATCTTTGTAATAGGTTGTGACTGCTCCTCCAGCTTTTTTAGGTTATTGTACTGATAATAGGCTTGATCCTGTTGAAACATTGAATTTCATGTTTCTAATTTGGCCAGTTTTAGTTGCCATCAATGCCATATCCCTTCATCTCCTTGCTGTTGTACGGTTGCCTGAGTCTACTAGATTCTTCAGGGCTGAGAAATAGTTGCTAGGTTTTGAGAATCTAAATAAAAATTTCTCTCTTTTATTTGGCTGTTTAATGTTTTTCATGTGTGTTGATGTCTTGCATCCCAAACTTATGCTGTCTGCATCAGTTTGATGAGTGCCACACAGACATGACATTACTCAAACTAATTTATAGAGGTGATAGGAATACAAAAAGAGTTCTCAAGTCCAGTAGGACCTGGCCCTATGCTGTTTCGTTTAACTTCACATTATTGAATGTGGTCTAGTAGACTGATTACATTAGCGACCAATTTTGGATTATTATCATATGCACAATTCAGTGGGAATGTAACTAATAAGTGGAGTGGGAGCTTCAGGCATATTCTTCTAGTTTGCTAGTGAGGCAAAAAGATGCCCCAACTGGTGTGAGAGCTTCAGTTATATTCTCTCTTCAAACTATGTAGAACTTGTAGATTTTTTAAAGGTATGCAGCATTTTGTACAAAATATAGCAGTATCTGTTGTTTCTTCTGGAGAACCTTGCCAAAAGAGGGCTGATGGAAAATAGATTTCAAAGAAAAGTTCTTAAAAAAGGGTGCAATACAAGGTGGGTACTATATTCCAAAGAACCATATTTAGCATATGGAACTAACACCCACATTTTTGTCTTGGGCATTTATTAATGTGCATGCATCATGTGATGCCTATCCGACTTTCATTAAAGAGTCTAGCCTAATTAATTATTAGGAGGATATTTTTCATAATTAATTAATTATTAGAATGCAAGGTTTATTAGAGGGTATGGCCTTTTTTCTTTCATAATTAATTAATTATTAGGATAAGGAAAATTTGGTTAATAATGGGGTCATGTAATATTTGAAGTAGTTTGTCTATAAATAACTTTTCCATCCTTTTAGAGGGAAAGGGAATTTTTGGAGAGTTTATTTTAAGTTATCCTGAGGTTGGGGAAGATTTTTTCTTTTTGTGGATTCCTCAAATTTTGAAGAGGTGAGAAGGGGAGGAGATCTTAACAAATATAGAATTTTTCCACAATTGATTCTCAAAGCTTCTATACCTTCTCCATAGCATTCATTCCAGTGGCTATCTACTATAATGGTCTGAATTGAGTCACTATCTAAGGACTTGGTGCGAACAACCTCACTCAGCTAGCAACATTAACAGAGTGTAGCAGCAGGAAGCCCTTTCAGGAGGTTGCTAGAGTGGGTGGAAGAACTGTCTAGTATGATTCCTACGGTGCACCATACACTTGTAGCAGAAACTCCCAAAAAACAGCAGCAAAAAGACCATTCAAGAGGATCGTTGGTCATAGTGGAGTTCAAGATTCCGCCAAAATTAGTTCTGGCACTCTAAAACCTTCTTCGGCAGCTTTCCAAGGTGGATTGCAGTTGGTTAGGGAGAGTCTTTGGAGAGATTGATAGGAAACACTTGTAGATCGCGAGTATTTCCTAACAATCTTCTGAAAAACAGCGAGAACAATGACTGGACTGCTGTCCACAGCAGGAAAACACCAAAAAACTGCAATTTACAGCAGTAAAACAGCCAAAAACAGTGGGGAATTAGAGGAAAACTGTAGGAAAACTCAAAGTACAACTGGTATTCCAGTAGACAATGAATAAAATAGCAAGATACAATTGATCCTCAATTCGAGAGGAGGATCGATCTCTCCCAAATCTCTGGCAACGCCAAGAGCCCAAAAAAAACCTATATCTAAGAGATCTCAAATTTCAGCCAAATTCAAGATGCCCAAACCCTAGGAAAACAAAGTATTTAATGCATACAAATCAAAAGAAAATCCTTAAACAATCTGATGTAGACACACAAGTAAGAAAATCGACACAAAGAGAACAATGGATAGAACTTAAACCAAATTTTATTAAAATAAAAGCAAACAACTAAGACTTCAAAATTCAACAAGAAAACACTAAGAGATTTTAAGGAAATAAAGAAAATAAAAGACACTATCCTCAGACAACCGTCAGAGCGGGTTCCTCACATGCATCGAATTGTAG